TTAGTCGGAGAAGGCAACAGAATGAGCCGTTAACGAGAGTTTCTAAATCATCAACTACTGCACATTGCAGATCGCTGTGGTAGTAGAGTAGGACCCCACCTCCTCTGCTGGGGCAGTTGTTCCAAATGAGTGGCATTCCAGCTATCTCAACATCAGTCACCTCTTGGTGTAAGCAAATTTCGGTATTAGAAATTAGGTTTTAAGCATTCGTAAGCAGAGGTAGCCGAATACGTGGATCCGGAGCAGAACACGTAAATGGATCAACAGAAGAGATGAAATCTGCAGGAAACATTTGCTAAGCCCATGTGATATCACGTGGCAGGATTACAAAGTCGTCAGAAACTACTGCACCTCACTCATTAGAGTCGATAAGTACGAATGGCAGGAGAATATGGTGCTGAAATTTACGAGTAACACCAAACTGCCATACAGATTTGTGAATGGCAAAAGAAAGGTTAAGCCCGGAATACCACCACTCAGGACGGCCAGTGGCCTAACAACTACTGCTGTGGATGCCGCGAATGCTCTACTCTTGCAGTTTGGCTCGGTAGCTACAAATGTCATGGAACCATCGCCCTATCAACTCCCAACAAATGTCTTTGGCTTATCCAGCGTCACCTTTACTCCAGCAGCTATTGCAAGCAAACTACAGTCTCTCCGGGAGTACAGTGCCCCTGGAATCGATATGATCAGCCCAAAAGTACTAAAAACCCTTGCTCCCACCATAGCAACACCGCTTGCAACCTTTTTCCAGTATCTGCTTAACTCCCATACACTCTCATCTGAGTGGAAAAATGGAATTATCGCTCTAGTCTATAAAGGAGGTAAGTGCTGGGATCCTGCTAACTACCGGCCTATTACTCTCCTTCCTGTTTTATCAAAAGTTATGGAATCGGTAATCGCAGATGGACTGACGCGATACTTTGAAAGTCAACAGATAATTTCTGATGCCCAACATGGTTTCCGATGCAGACGATCTTGTCTCACCTATTCGCTGATTACTCTGGACTTATGGACCAGGGCGGCTGATGAAGAAGTGCCTATAGATGTGATATACCTGGATTTTCCTAAAGCATTCGACAGGGTCAATCACTTCTTTCTCCTCCAAAAGCTTGCTGCCTACGGTATCAACGGTTCCCTGCTCACCTGGTTGGAAGACTACTTACAAGACAGAGCAATCAAGATAAGAGTAGCCGACACCTAATCTGAAAGCCTTTGCGTCTCCAGTGGTGTACCACAAGGATCTGTCCTCGGCCCGCTACTATTTTTAGTCTACATTAATGACCTTCCAGCAGACATTCTATCTCCAATGCAAATATTTGCAGACGATGTTAAAATATGAAGGGCAGTTCGCTCAGCATCCGACCGTGTCTATCTCCAGGGAGATCTGACCCGGATTAAGGAATGGGCAGAAAAGAACCAGCTCCCACTGAACCCTGCAAAGTGCCACCTGCTGACGGTGCACAACAGCTTCGTCAACACATACCTTTTGGGGCAACACGCCATGCAACACGTGACTAGTGAACGCGACCTAGTTATAATCGTGCAAGAGAGTCTTGGAAATCCGCTCCAATGTTCGAAAGCAGCAAGTGTGGCGAACTTGAACTTGAGACTTTTGAGGCGAGCTCTCGGCACTTTTGAGAGACAGCTAGTACCATTCTTGATTAACTCCTACATTCGCCCTCATGTTGGATATGCAATTCAGGCCTGGTGGCAATGGTTAAAACGAGACATCCACCTCTTGGAACAGCCCCAAAGAAGAGGCACAAAGGCAACGCGTGGACCATCCGGTATAAGTTACGAAATGCGTCTTCGTGTACTCGGTATGTTCTCATTAGAATACCGACGGCTTCGCGGAGATCTTACTCTCACATACCGGATACTAACCGAAAGCAAGCATCCATGTGCATCACTGTTGACTCTAGCCCCATACAAACAAAACGGGGGCAACCACCAGAAATTAATGACGCAACACTCTCGTTTGAATTGTAGAAAGTATTTTTTCTCACTTAGAATCTGTTCTCACTGGAATGCATTACCAAACTTTGTGGTGAACGCACCAGACATGACGACATTCGAAAGACTCTTAGATTTTCATCTAAGTGATAAACGATACACAACACTTTGTTAAAGTGCAACGATTTAACCACTGATACTTTACTTGCCGCGTTGGAACATTTTGATTTTAATTTTCTGTTGCATATCCATCCTGTGGGTCTTGTAAAGTTGTGCTTTTTATCCCATCATACACCATTGAACCATTGAACTTCGAAAAGTTTATGAGGAGCCCTTGAGCGCTTTAGTGTACGTACATGAAAATTTCTCAGATTTTAGCAATGTTTCCGAGGTTGTGCAACTCATACGTGAAGTTTAGCCTATCAGTGAGTGGCGGGCGACTAATCGTTTTTTCGATGTGTACTTGGTGAAGGGTTTAACGTCTTATTAGTGGTCCGTGTTGTTAGTCCCGTGTCTAAGCTTCTACTTACAGTGTAAGGTGTCTGGTCAATATCATCTTCTACAGGTTGCAGGAGCTCATTAGGCACACTACTGGTGCATGAATATTTTATAGATCCCATCGCGTTTGGTTCTTTGAGTAACATGTCATCTCTAGGAGACATAGCGCTGATTGTCTCCAGCCGAACCTCAGATGGTGGCCTGCAACGGAACATGTACCAGCATTTTAGCATCCGTGCTACCGTACGTTTTGACTGAAGGACCACCTCCAACACTCTCTGGCCACTTCCGTTGTAGTTCGGTGAGGTACCTAGTCGTGACACGGATTTCGCTACCACATCATCCAAGTAGAAGGTTACACGAATATAACATCATTGTTCTTTATCATGGGTTATTATTTCATGCTCATCACATGCTTCAGCTTCCGGAACCCCGTGAAGAAGTATGGTTCTGGTTGAAATTTCATTTCGGTAATCATCTATGGTGCGGTTTACTCGATAACTCTCGCCTCATGGGATGTCTGGAAAGATACGGATAAAGCAGTGTTCATTTCTGAGACTACCAGTCGAGAGTAATACTAATTCTACTTCAGTGATGGAGTTCAGCACAACACGCAGAATTCTTGGCTCACCGAAATATTTGGAGTTAGGGTGTCGTGTAATACGGACTACGTGTACAGGCTTCAGTACAACTCCGATTAGATTACTAATAATATCCTACTGGCTGTGAGGTCATCCAACTGCCTCCCTCTTATTGATGTCGACTTTGATTCTGGGATAGTAGAGCACAGTACAATCAGTACAGGTAGTTGTTTCTTTACACCTTTCGACATGTCGCGGTTAGTGATTGAAATCCTCGGAGATGTACCGCAGCAAACCGGTGGTGCTTGTACTAGGAAAACTCCGCTATGCTCCTCGGTTTTCGATCCAGTTGGGGGTGATGTTAATTTTATATAACGGCTCTTCTTGGAAGCAACCGTAACCAAACTTTCGCTGGTATCGGCTTGCTCTTTTTCTACGCACTTCGTCGGGAGTTTGGAAGTAGCCTTACGTGTAGTTACTCCGATCAAACAGGGAACCGCATTAGTCAAATGTGAGCCAAGTGTGGTACTGGAACAGCAGTTGATGTTTTGGACTCTAGGTGTCATGTTGCTTACGGTGTTAATAGCAGTTCTTCTCGGGATAGGAGCAGCCACCAAGGGGGAGAATTGCGTTGCACACTCCGCTATGCTTAGCCCAACCGTAGTGATTTTGGTGGTCACCATTTCCTCAGACTTGGTTAGTAACTGGTCGTACTTCTGAGATAATAGGAGCATGCTTTTTATCAGTGGGATAGATGTGTATTCCACGCAGAAACATAGCGAGTCTGATTTGTTTAATAACTTGGCCTGACTAGGTTGAACTCTGAGGCATCTCGCATGGAAGCACTTGCAACAGTTACGGCACAAAATGCCCCCGTTAACAAGTTTGGAACATGATCCACATACGTCTGTAGACTGTGGCACACTGGGCATCGCGCTTATTGAGAAAACGTTACGAACCATTTGAATGGCTCACCCTCTATGGCAAAGTTGTTCTGTTACTGACGTTGTCGGCAAGGTCACAGTGTTCACGCTGCAGTTGTGTGCTTGCAGGCTGTCCTCTCTGTCGTACCAGTCCAATGTGTCCGCTGAAATGTGGGGCAGGTAACCCCCTGAAATTGTGTGCACAGTATAGTCACCTGAAATGCCGCCGGAATTATTTTTCTCCTCGGGTTTCCCACCCTAGAACGCTCTCCCAAAATTAGTCGTTTCTTCCCCACATTGGATACTTCAAAAAAACATTAGATCTTGCCCTTGGCCCCCAGCACTTCGTTGCATAAACTGTGATACTTTGGAATATATTACTTATCCCTTCAAACCGGATTAACATGTCCCATAAACCTGAGAAGGCGGTACAGAAGTGAGTATTCTCATTTTTACTTTTCTCACTGAGTGCAGCAACTATAACTGTCCCGATTTTGCCTTGTCGTGCGCATACAATTCCCACTTACACTACTAGTATTCAGCAGCGTATCTGTTAGATAAACGCTCAAACAGACAACTCACCTATCTTTTAATACTTGAAGTTTTATCCCCACCATCTTGCGGGACTTTTCAAGCAAATGCTTTTTTGCCCGTCGGAAATCATTTTTCACTGAGGTTTTGTCATTTGCCCATTCCGTTTGCATCGGACCAGAAATGAGGCCATACTTTAAATACCGACAACAAATTATTGGCTCAGTTCAAGTACACATTTTAGTGGGAATATATAGTAAGTGCACACGATCAATACTATCACTAGAATCACCTTTTCTTTAGTCGTTCATGAAAGCAACCATGAATTGTACGTTTTCGGTAATAACACAATCAGTTGGTTGCCGCTGGAAGCTAAATCTTAAGCTTAGGCTCTTATACTCTTATTCATCACTGTGTTTGGCTGTATTCGTTTACAAAAGCCGGTTTTTACATAACCTTCTTTATTGTTCATTAGGTCTTCTATCCAATAAATCAGCTTCGAAATATTGCAATGGAATACGCAGAAACAGACTATGTGTTTTTGGTCGATGTGGATTTCGTCCCGAGCATGAACCTTTCTGAATCTTTGGAGGTTACGGCATTAAAGCGGTTTGATCCCGTGAGTTCGCGTGTTGTATTGTGGAAAGCGCTGAGCATTCATTTTCTGAAAGACCCGATTATTTCAATCAACTTTTGTGTATTATTTAAATTAAAGCACAGCCGCAAGTAGTCAGTTGACATTATTCAAGCTGAACTTAGTTACGCATTGTCTATCAACTGTAGCTAACCACCTATGGAGACCGGTCAGAACCCTCCAGCGGTGAGCGAAGGTGCTTCATCGTGCCAGCTTTCGAGATCAAGGAAAGCAAGGACCCACTGCCGAACACAAAAGGGGATCTGCTGTCCCTTTGGGGCCAAGGATTTGTTCAGCCTTTTCGTCACGAAATCTGGACAGCTGGACACACGGCAACAGACTACGCCAAATGGAAAGAAATATCGGAACCGTATGAGGTGACGGATTTATTGATGCAGTCAGTATATTGGTCGAGTTCCTTTGCTTTGGTGATATGTGCTGCGATTTTCATACGCTTCTCCAAATCAGCACACTAGAATTTATCGAAATCTTTTGAATTTTCGGTTGTTCGCCGAACTTAGTTCTTTGCTTGCAAGTGTGTATTTACCAGGCTAGGTAACATGTATACTCTGAGACTTGATTCGCAGCACCTAGTAGGCCACGTTTAGATCCATGGGCATACTATTCATATAGTTCTACTCTGGATGCCAGGCATCGGTGACTTCCCATCTTTAGCAGCTTTTGCACTTCCGAGTATTTGAACGCCTTGCATGTTGACGACATTCATAGGTACAGACATTAATGACTGCAGTAGGGAAATTGAATGGTTGAGTGGTGTTTTCGTAACAGTTCATCAAGCTTCTTACTTGCATTTCCCATGCAGTATTGACCACACTTTCGTTAAGGTTTACATTGCATGTTGAGTTTTTCCGTTCGTTTTGGATAGTTGGTGAGTAACTTTAATCTAAAGCAGTAGTCAACATCTTATTAATACCTCAGATATTCTGTTGGTGTAGGGCAATTTCGCTATCCTTGCAACTGCTACAGTTACAAATAAATAAATAAATAAACATAAATTGTATATTTCTCGGTGATTCGAGGTGCAGTCCAACTATGTGGTCTGATCAATGTGTACAACAGGATCGGAAAACATTATGAATTTGTTCACGCTTTTTACAATGGATCCAAAACGGGTATTAAAGTAATTGGCAGGATTAAAATATTAAAGAAATTAAAAAACCAGGAACAATAACATATGCAGATTTAAACAGATGTCCAGTTAACGTAATACGGCCACTCGTGGAATAGTCCCAAGAGGATCTGCTTCCATGCAAGGTATTCCTTCGAAAGGTTTCGCCCGCACTTCCATGCAATACCCGACTGCGTGTCGGTGTGGTATAGTAGCGCATGAGCCATCACCTGTTTATCATATGTTCTGTTCATTTTAGGACTGCTTTTATACATGTATTATGAGCGATGAAGCCTCAGCCCAGTCCGTCATGCAGACCATACAATTGTGGCACCTTTTTATACGCCAGTAAATTTGTGGCAATGTGCCTTGCATAGGTAGTCTTTTATAATCTGGAAGCTATACTCCGTCACCACAGGAGATCAGCCCATTCGTGGCCAACAATAAAATAAGGAAGAATGTAGAAAATAAGAATTATGTGAAAGAGGTATTAGATCGTTAATGTAAAAGATAGGCAGGTATGTTTTTTACATCGGCGTAAAAATGGATCGAGCCGATCATATAATCAAATTGTGTGGCGTGACAGCCGGAGACAGATAACTGTACGAGTTGTCCATAGGCAAAGGTCGCATAAGGAATCAGTTATTGCCATCACTGAATTCAAGTATTTGTTTCCGGACTGTTAAGTTCAGAAAAGAAGGGGAAATGATTAGCACTGCAGAACAAATGTAGCAAAGGTGATCACAGAACCATATTACGAATTAATCAATCTGTGGGGAAAATTACGAAAATAGTTTCTGACGCCACACCAGCAGATAATGTTGCTATCGGTTTTAAACAGATGACAGTTGGTATGAATGAAGTTAGAAAGGAGTAAAACCGCATAGGAGCTAGCATTAAAGAATAGCATAAGAAGCGGTTTGTAGCAGCTCATGCTAGATGACCATGTTTTCTCTGATGCATTCGCGTCCATGTTCTCCGGTATCATACATGATCCGGCCCTTCTTCACACAGCTTTTCATCATCAAGTTGAATTTTTAAGATCCATTTCACTCTGTCCGTTGACAGATAAGGCTTTATTATTTCCTTGGACGCAAAAATGTTCAGTGCATCTACTCTCTTTTGGCAGCTTATTCCATATGAAGCCATACTTAAGAAGATAGAAATTTCTCCTTAAGCTGGTCTTGAATTTAGGTGAATAGAATAGACATTCACTATCTAGAAGTTCATAACTAGTATTTTCCCGAAAGTGCAATTGATACGTTCCAGTATATGCTTTCCGCCATGCGAGTTTGTGGAGGAAGCACAGATTTAATTGCATTTTTCGTAACCACAGAGGTTCAAGATTCAACTACTTGCACCTATCTCTGTATAAAAGAACGGTTGAATAGCCAAATATGCGTTTCGTAAAGGCGCGTTGGACGTTTCTAATGGCTCTCAAGTCACCCTTTCGCAAGTTACTGAACGTAGCAAAGCAATATTCAAGCAAAGGCCAGATACTGATTTTGAAAGCAATTAGGCTGGTTTCTTTCGACGTTAGCAGGTGGCATATGAGCCCGACCGGCTGCTTAGCCATTTTCACAATATGATTTGTATGTTCGCTAAAGTTTAACGAACTAGGAGATCTTAAACCGAAGGCACGGGTGATGTCAACTTTTTGGTACGAGTTCCTTTAGATGGTTCCTAAGTAATGGTCTTACATAGTTTGCGTCAGTTTTAGTGTGCTGAGGTCGTTTACGTTAATAATAGTTGGGTGCCTGTTTTGTGACAAAGCAACACGAAAACTCCGGCAGTTCGAATACAGTATAGTGATCCGAATGACCGAGATCTGTTCCAAAGTAAACCAAAGTATTAATAGAGATGGTGTCGCAATCCAATCTCGCAGTGCGTACCCCAAGCCCGTCCTTGAATGCTAAGAATAGTACTTCAGTCTTGCTTTAAACGAAACATGTCTGGCAAGGCATATATAAGGAGTTACAGGCATTTGCAAACTGACGAATCAAGCTTCGATCGAAAACCAAGGAGAATAACGAGGATGGTTTTGAGATTTCGAGAGAAAACGTTTTCCACTCGGACCAAATTCATGTACGGATTAAGGAACACTATATATAATCTAAATGGAATTAATAAGGTCACTGCAGTTATAAGTGATTCATGGCTAATTATGATCAACTGAAGCTTTTAGAATGAGCCGAAAAGAAAAACCCATTTCTGTTTGCACATTCAGAAAATCGCAGTGCATCGACTGTCAGCGGAGACATGAAGAAGAAATAAGGATTTGTTAGATACGTGTAAAATAAGGGAAGGTAGGTGTTGTGTGGTCATGCAAAAAAAATTAAAAAATTAAAACTACAGGATTAATAATTTGAGCATACCAAGAATCCAATGCAGAGATACATAAAAAATAGAAGAATGCGTTACGAGATGCACCTACTAACCGTAAGCCAGCGGCTAGTATAATGGACTTCAAAAGGTGATATCAGTTAAACTTTCGTATAGCTTCGCTCTACCTTAACAAGCCTAAATAAAAGCGTTATCGGAAAAGTGTCGCTGCAAGTGTATTAAGAAGGAAGCAAACACATGCAGTGTCAGCCGGTGTGAAAACGGGGTAATCACGAGATTTGAAATAGTGTTGGAGGAGGAAACTTTAGAGGAATAATGAGATAAAGATAATATTTATCCTCACCTACTATGAGTGCATATGCGTTTATGTGTCACAAACAAGACAGCGTCAAACTAAAGACCGTAAACAAGTGACGTAATACGTGAGAAAGACGGTCCTCAGAAGACAATGCAGCGCCATCTAGAAGGAAAAGTTTTGTCAAGGAACATGCACATGGGCTTTGTATGCCACAGTTAAATGACGCTGTCAGTGCAGCAAGCGGTACCTGAAAAAGAATGCGTCAACATCTGTTAGGATAGGGCTGGAACCGAGCAGTTGAAATGGGAAAGAATTCAATTTGAAACGCGAGCGCATGGGCATCATATGCCACAGATAGTTTTCGTGTAGACAAACTTGTTAGCCTCGACTTTCAGCAGCACTCGGACGGAGCGGTTTCGTTGATAATCTCGATTTATCATCTACTATATCTGGTTTCATTACAACCACGTAACACTCACTTTCCTAAGTGTGGAACACCCACAACCTTTGACATATAGCTCCCGTGTTGTTTATGTTTCATGCGTGATCAGATTCTCCCTCAAACGAACTGCCATCATTTATCTGCAAATTTAGAATCTGTTTCACATTCACAGGCTTCAGGAAATTTGTTTAACATCTGTGTACACCATCTGCAAATAGGCAGCCTACTCCATATTATACCGCACCTTATAAGCTGCTAGTTCTTTGCAAATGTTGTCCTGAATTTGCGCACTGCGATCATACACCCCGTGCCACCCATTTCATATCTGGTTTCTAGTCGAAATCGCAAAGAGCTGTGCTCACAGGTACTTTCTGCTACACAACTTTATGTAGAAAACAAACATTCCACGAGAATCTGAGTGACCATAATGACTCGAATGTTAGTTCAGTGCGTCTTTCCTTATAAGAAACAAGTGAAGTGTACAGGTAGATGCGTTCGGTGAAGGCATGTTGAATATGATTTGTGGTATTCGCTCATAGGTGTGTAGAGTACTAAACGTGACCTGACATTATTCTGAAAGGGACCTCATATTGAGTTTAATTGCCATGAGTCTAGTCTCTTTCTGCGTTAGTAACTTACACTTATACCCCATTACTTGTACTGCTTTAGTCCCAATGTAGTTCGCATGTTTGCTGAAATTTAGGGAGCTGACATATTGCATTCCAAAATCTCTGGCAGAAAAACAAATAGAAATGGTATCATTATGAAACTGAAATATTCCGGATTTCATTATGGTGTCCATTAATCATTATGCTGTATTTCGATGAAGAGAACTGCGTAAACTACTTTACAGCCAAGACATTTAGATCGTGTTTAATATTTGCTACTTCAGTTGCATGTTGAGACGAATGGAACGTACACACTTGGCCAAATTATTATACATTTGTAGAATTCAGCAATCTCTGCATATTTCTTCACATTTCGCGTAAAAATCAAATGATTTAACTGTAAACTGATTATGTTCCAGGAAAAACATATTTCGATTAGAAATTCGTCAACGTTAGTAGTTTGTAAATGATCCTTTGGTAAGTTTCAAGCTTACGCGCAAAGGCATGGATTGAATGGGTTTGTTTACTATGTTCAGTCATGCTTTCAGTGCATTAAGCGGTTGCTTAATTGTAATAATTCTTCGTTGCTGACTTTAGAATTGCTCATATGCTCTCTATTAGATTCATGCCAGGGCTATTACCAGGCCATGGTAAAA